TATATATATATATATATATATATATATATATATATATTATTAATCTGTTTATATTATATTTGTATAATTGCAAATTTAGAAATAGTAAGAATACTAAAATTTATGAGTTTCTTTAACTCCAATATTATATATGTAGAATGTAGTGATGTAAATAACAAATACAGGTTTAGGAATTAGGAAGAAGATATACCTCCAAGGTTTAAGAATTAGGAAGAAAAATGTTTCGAGGTTTAGGAATTAAGAAAAATACTAGATACCTTCAAACTTTAGGAATTAAAATGAGTACGAGATACCTCCAAACCTTAGCACTTAGGAAGAGTATAAATACTTCCAAGGTTTAAGAATTAAGAAGAAGAAAAGATACACCGAGTTTAGGAGTTAGGAATAGCATGAGATACCTCTAAAGTTTAACAATTAGAAAGAGGAAAAGATACCAAATGAAACTTAAATCTAAACTAGTCAAATAAAATCCCAAAATACAAGGAACTAAAAGTTAAAAATATAGAATCTAGTCAAATAAAATCCCAAAATATAAGGAACTAAAAATTAATAAATAAATAAAAGAAAAAAATTAATAAATAAACATTAATGATAAGAGTCCATACATGTTTTTAATATAAAAGAAAAAAATATTTATTTTAATTTTTTATCTTTTTATATATCCGTGTATATATATATATATATATATATATATATATATATATTATTAATATGTTTATATTATATTTGTATAATTGCAAATTTATTTGAGCCACCAAAATATTAATGACAAGAGTCCATACATGTTTTTAACATAAAGAAAAAATATTATTTATTTTAATTTTTTATCTTTTAATATAGTGTTGCACACTTGTGACAAATATATACAATAAGTTTATTTTGATATATTTTCTTAAAAAATATTTAATGTATTCTGATGCACTGTCATTCTTACTCTTTACATTATTAAGTGGTAGATAAATAATTGGAACATATCTCTATGCTAAAATATAAAAATAGTTAATATTGTTTCAGATTTTTCAGATTTTCATTTTCTGTTTTTCCTTTTCTGTTTTCTTTTGTCTATTTAAGAGTTATTTTTTCTTATCCAATGTACTAAAATTACAATGCTTTGTATTTTTGGTGATTTTCCTCTTTTGTTCTCTTTTGCTTTTAAGTGCATGATATATGCATGCGTTTTTTTTTTTCATTAGTAGGTTTTGGTCTTCTAATTGGTTGCATGCATAGAGGTCAGTAGAGTGGATAAAATCCAATATAGTATGAGAATAGGTTAATCTCTCTGCTGGCCCTCACTTCTTCCTTTCACACCATCAGTTGCAGTAAAGATTATTTTTCTTCTTGTTTTGTTCTTGTTTTCCAATGAAACTGAGTTCAACACTGATCACAATACAATGGATGTTTCTCAAAATCCATCTAATCGGTATTATCTACACCCTGGGATGAATCCAGGTATGTTTTTGATTAATCTTTAACATGATGGATCAAATTATCTCAAAGTCCATTAGTATAGATTATAATTTTTATGCTAATTGTAACCTATTAATATGAAAGAAATTAAATTTTTATTACAGGGGAATAGACTACAATTTTAGTTTTCATTGTAGCTTATTCCAATCAGGCTATAATTTTGAGTTAAAAGGTTAGATAGAAAAACTATTTATATTTGTTTTTATTTTCCTTTTTAATTATATATGCATAAGTGTGTAGTGTTGTAAATAATAAATACCTCCAAAATTTAGGAAAAGGACCCATCAACTCTAATATTGTAAGTACAATGTGTAGTAATCTAAATAATAAATACCTTGAAAGTTTAGGAAAAGGAAGAGTAATCAAACTTGTCTCTGTCCCATCAACTCCAATATTGTATGCACAATATGTAGTGATGTAAATAATAAATGTCTCTGAGATTTAGGAAAAGGAAGAATACTCAAACTTATATGTCTTATTAGCTTTAATATTGTAGACAGAATGTGTAGTGTTGTAAATAATAAATACCTCCACAGCTCCAATATTGTAGGCAGGATGTGTAGTGTTGTAAATAATAAATACCTCCAACATTTAGAAAAAAAGAAGAATACTCAAACTTGTATATGTCCTATTAGCTCTCTAATATTGTATGTAGGATGTGTAGTATTAGTAAATAATAAATACCCCAATATTACACTCGTTCTCCAAGTAATCGTTCCTTCTACAACGAGTGCAGAATTTTCCTCCTACCAGTTGAGGACATGACGAATTGTAGCGGGGTCCTCCACAATGAAAACAAGCCACCGCTCCTTATTGTCCAGACTGACCGACAACGCTCGGGGACTGGGAAAGAGACCCACTAGAGATGAAGGGTAGTGCGGGTCGAGTGTAAGGGGTTCTCCTCAGATTCGAGTTTTTCTTGGAAGAAATCAGTCCTCTGGTGGTTTGTTGATGCTGCTTCTTCTGTTGTTCCACCTCCAAAATGTTCTTCTCCATTACCTTGGCTCTCTCCACCATGGAAGGAAATGACTTGATACATAAACTTGAAATTAGTAGTTTGAGATCACTCCTCAATCCATTCTCAAACTTTCGGCACTGCCACTCCTCGCTTGTCGCCATAGTATTAAACCGAACCAAATGTTTGAACTTGTTGGTATATTCAGATATCGTCATACCTCCTTGCGTCAACTGAAGAAATTCAACCTCCTTAGTAAAACAAACGCTATCCGAGAAATATTCTTCATAAAACTTACTTCTGAAAATTTCCCAAGAGATGGGAATTTGGTTGTCCGCTAATATCATCTTCATGCTGGTCCACCAATGATTAGCCTTTCCCGTCAACAGATACTCGGTAAATGCCAATCTATTGTCGTCCGGACACCTCTTGGCATTGTAGATCCTTTCCATATCTCTCAACCACTAGTCGGCCTCATCCGGTAGGCACTTCCCATTAAACTTTGCAGGATGATGTTGGAGAAAGCTCTCTAAACTCCTTTCGGTCTGATGAGTCGCGGTGGAAGTAGACGACCCAACGAAGTTCCTCGTGGTGGATATGATCTCCATTAGTTGCCTTTGGGTCGCTTCTGAGTTTGCTCTGGCAGCCTCCAAACTTTGTAACGCGGCCGTATTCTGTTGTACTAGGGCAGCGTTCTGCTGTTGAAGAGCCTCTATCACGGATTCTAACAACCTGGTGTTATCAGATGGATTACGCTCGGCAGAAACTTGAGGAGGAGATCTAGGAGCCATCTTCTCTGATTAACAGAGAAAAATAACCATCAGTTTAATTCAAAGAGTCCAAAACACTCACTAAACGAACGTTGAGTACGCAGCAGAAGCATAATATACTCATAACCTACAGTACGATAAAGGAATAAAACTGCTCTGATACCATTAAATGTAACATCCCAAAAATACAGTATAAAACCATATACGAGAATAATCACATATTAACAATACTACAAATTAGTTTTTACTTAACTAGATACGATTATGGTCGAACGACCTTACATAACAGCAGGGAAATTAAAACTGAACGCTAGCTACAACTAGACTGAACGGTTCATAAATAAACTATTATCGAACGGTCTTACAAAAGGGTGAAAACAACAACAAGCCGAACGTTCCTAAGGTTCGGCCTTCACTTCCGCCTCTTCCAATGCTTCTTCCAGCAACTCTTCTCCTTCTGCTCACATTCACACAGATGATCATTGCAACAGGACAACAACCGAACCCACAACACAAACAAAAATTATAAACAGGGTAAGCTTATGTAATTTAATTAATTCAATAACAACATACAACGTTCATAATTAAATCAACAACACCCAAATCATCATTCATACGTAATGGCAGACAAAGACTGACCACTTGACTTTGACTGTCCGGACTGTATGAATCCTGTGTCGCTACGACGTTTGTGCACCCGGGTGATGTAGTAACTGGGATCCCTCAACAGCTGCCACCCGAGGTTAGTTCGTTCCGTCCAAGTTAACCTTATGGACTAAGACCTCCTGCCATTCCTACACATGACTTACTCCTCTCTACATGAGAATGAGTAATCATGGAATATCAGGATAAACACCCGCTAAGCTTTGTCCACATTCATACTTTACCAATCAATAACCACTTTCTGAGATATTCCTCCTTGAAATACTCGTTCATAATCAAACTATTTCATTCACATCACATTTCAAATTCTCTTATGCTTCATCATTAATACATTCAACTGAAATAAGATCACACTCTCTCATCATAGCATAAGTCCGACTGGAATAACACTTCTTAGAAACTAACATAACTGAGCGCTGCTTATCCATTTCAATAAACAGACCCCTAAGAGTTCAAACCGGACGCCACGAAGCCTAGGCTGAGTACTAAGACTCTAGGCCGAACACCTTTTAAAGACCAACACTGTTTGATACCCAATACTAATACTAATGAGATATGCTGAAGTAACGAACGTTGTCAAGTTTGGCTGAAGACTCTTATTCTAAAAACGGTAATAATAGATTACTGAAACGAGACCCAACGCTTGGTTTAAGACCGAGCCCTGTAGAAACCGAACACTATTGAACGAGCGCTGGTCCAATACCAAGTACTTATCAAGAACGAGCGCTACTGATACCGAACGCTTAGTCTGAGACCGAACACTACTAAACTTATAAAATGAATGAATATATATATATATATATATATATATATATATATATATATATATATAAACACTTATTTTTAATGAACAATAACGATAATATTTACGACTTTAAGTAGTGTAATATTCATTAACTAAACTGTTTAGGAAACCTACATGAGAACTACAATTAGGCCGAATGCTCGTGTGTATCTATATATATATATATATATATATATATATATATATATATATAACTAGAATTAAAGTTTTATCTAAAAGTAATGGTCTGCATAAAGTTTTTGTGATATTTAATTGCTGGGTAAATTTGAATTACTGAAACTCTAATTTTGACTTTATAAAGTTATATACTTCAAAAATAAAATTAAATACGCTTTATAATTTCAGTTGAAGATTGTTTAAATACTTGAGAGGGAAGTTCCTTACACAAGTAAAAATTAAAATATAAATCTCACACTTGAAAATTCTTTAAAAATGAAGACAATTTTTTATATTAAAAATAT